TTGTAATAACAAAGTGATGCAGCTTTTGTTCCTATAGTGATTGGCAATATTTTCGGGCGCACTCATATTTGACCAGGAAGATTTAGAAGAATTATTGGTAGCAGTGTAATCATACCGCAGAATCAAAACACTTATCAATGGTTTTTGCCATTTGTCGGTGGCATTTCCATTAAGTAATTCTAGTTAAATTGAGCTAATTATGGCAAGTATAGTTTTTTATTCGCAAATTTACATTCAAGTTCCTATTCAAATAGAGGCATATGTCGTAATATACAGTTTTGCAAAATATTTAACAATGTAACCTTGGGATACTGATACTATTATTAGCTGTGTAATGGTAAGATTAGATAGATAAGATGCATTCCATTGTATATCATTGCAATAAAATATAGAAAAAAGATATCCGGATTACTTATGGGCCATTGCCGAGACGCTAGTCCAGGTAGACTTGTCAGGATCAAAGTATTCCACGAGCTCAGACTCGAATCCACCAATGGCGTAGATACATCCAGCTAAAGTTAGGGCTACATGCCCATGGTGTGAGTGATTCATGTCAGGGAGCAGAGACCATTCGCTCTCATTGATTTGGAACACTTCAGCAGACAATTCTTCACCTGAAAAAAAGTAGATAAGAAATATCACGTTTGACTAAGAGTCGAGAAACATCAACTTCTATTTAAGAAGTAGCACAAAGACTGGCCGACAACATGAGATGGCAAATAATTTAAGGACAATAAAAATATGTAAGCCTATCGTTACCAGCCAAGAAAATGAATATATCTCATACAGCTGATTTACTGGTAGTCTCGAAACTCTGCTTATATACGAATAATAAATAATGTAATCGAGTGTTATAGCAAAAACACGTTTGCTTCATCGACAATCTCAATAAATTATTTGATATTGGATAAAGCCGGGCCTTATTTTAAATTCACAATGTCAAGTTCACACGATGCACTGTGACGGTTCGACTCCCGCTGGGGGTGTTGATAAGACTTAGGCAAGGTAGCAACTGCAGTCCACCTCAGCCCAGATGAAAAAAACTTCTGGGAAAGCAAGACAATGTGAAATTTAATGGAAACGCTAGCTCTACTCATATCATTGTGGGCAGATTATACTACCAATCCTTCATCACCTTAAACGAAAT